TGGCTCTGTGTGTGGCCCTGTGTGGCCCAGCGCGGGCGCTCACGCCGGCTCACACTCTCCGTGGTCCCAAAGCAGCTGAGGTCACTCCAGCTTCCCCAAGCACCCCGTCGATTTACCGTCAGCCAAGGCCGCCCACAGAAGTTAACCACCCTCTCCTGCTCTCACTTGGCAGCTGGGAATTCCTTTGCTTAACAAAATGAAAAGGAAAGGAAATGATTAACAATTCCAAAGCAGATGCAGAGAACCTGGCAAGAAAACAAATAAATGGTAAAAATGTCATAAACCCGTCAGAGAGCGTGGTTCTCTGCACCTGCACCTGCTTTGCCCCCGTGGTACAGATGGGGAAGCTGAAGTCTGTGCTCAGAGCGGCCAGGCTGGACCCATCTCCCCCACCTTTCGGGCCAGCCGCCCGGCTCACTATGGCATCCATGGCCCTGGCGGCTTCTGGCAAAGGTGATCCCCTTTGTTTAAAGGCAAGTCATTTTTTCCAAAAATGTTCTCCCAAACAGCAATATCAAGGGTGTCTTTTTGTGTTTTTCTCTGGTTATCATGGTCTCTGGGGTGTCTGCCAGTGTGTGGGCCGTCATTCTAATTGTCTTGAAAGAGAGGGAAGATTAAAAGGAGGGAAGGAAAATACAATTTTCATTTTCCTTGTGCTGGGGAAGCAAATGGAAGTCAGGGACTTCTCTCAAGTCTGGCTGTTTCTTACATGCCAAAAGGGAGTTTTGCAGACTGAAGATCTTCTTAAACAAGCCTGGAGAATGAGCTGGAATGCCCCCACCCTCTGGATGAGTTTGTTTTTCTGACTGGAGGAAAAACTACATCAGAGCAGTCACTTTGGTGCTGAATGGTCAATCCACGGTTTAGTGGATCGGGAACATGGTGCCATCTCATCTTGTTATCACCTGTTAAAAAATGGTGAACCACAGGGCCTTAAAAACACAAAGACGTGCACAGCTGTGTTTTCAGAGCTGCTGGAGAAGATGCATCTGTCCCCATCTAATGTCGTTCCTTACTCATCCCCATGAATGCTGGATGAACTGGCAGAAGGGTATTTGAAACACAGTGGATCTCAAACTTTCAAACGAATTGTTTTCCCCCTTTACTTTTGAAATCAAGTCTAAGTCATTGCAAATATATATATATTTTTAAAGATTTTATTTATTTATTTGAGACAGAGAGAATGAGAGAGAGAGAGCACATGAGATGGGGGAGGGTCAGAGGCAGAAGCAGACTCCCCGCCGAGCAGGGAGCCCGATGCGGGACTCGATCCCGGGACTCCAGGATCATGACCTGAGCCGAAGGCAGTCGCTTAACCAACTGAGCCACCCAGGCGCCCTCATTGCAAATATTTTTAAATGGAAATAACTTCAGGCTTTCTTTACAGTTACACATCTTTGAATCAGTTTTTATGGTAAAGATTTATTTATTTGAGAGAGCGCACACGTGTGCACTTGCAAGCACAGAGGGAGAGGGGCAGAGGGAATCCCAAGCAGACTCCCTGCTGAGCAGGGAGCCCAACACAGGCCTCGATCCCATGACCCTGAGATCACAACCTGAGCCGAAATCAAGACTTTGAGCCACCCAGGCGCCCCACTTTGAATCACTTTGAAATTGGCTTTCACTAAATTGGCCATTTTTCCACCCAGACAAACCGATGTGTGACTTCTCTTGTGTGGCTCACCTTGAAGGACCTGTGGGAAGGCAGGAGCCGTGGGTCTGGAGGCTCCCCGTGGTCACCTGCGTGGCGGCAAGGCCGAAGCCCTGGTGGCCGAGGCTCACAGTGTCGCCTTCAGGAGCATGTGCAGGTGTGTGCCTCAGTAACACGATGCCAGGAGGAAAACCCGTCCACCGGCCGTGGTTGTTATGAGGCCCGTGGCCATCAGAGAAATTTTGCCAAAACCAGAAAACAGGTTGGTAGGCAGCCCCGCCCTGGGCCCTGTTTTGGCTTTGTGTCTCCCGCCCCACGGCTTCTGGACAGGAGGGCTCAGCAGCCAAGCTCAGAAAATTCCCCAGCCTGCATGATGCCAAGGGTCTCTGCCAGGGGCTGGCTCTGCGAGGGCTCAGGCCCCCTCCCCAGGTCAGGGAGCCCCAAGAGTCTGTGGCACTCTAGAGGCGGCCACCTGGGGCCAGCGTCATGGCTCAGCATGGCAACAACAGGCCAGGTCTGTGTCCCTGGGCTGGAGGCCACCTCCCCTGTCCTGCACGGCCACGGCGCCAGCACCGTGGAGGGCCCTGAGAGAGTGGCAGGGACAGTGTTCACAGCGGCTGCACCCCGCCGGCTCTCAGTGGCGGGCAGCAGTTTCCAAAGCTGGTGTGAGCCACGGAAATGAACACATCCCACCAGAAGCAGGATGCACTGGCCACCACTTGCCAGAGCCAAGGCCTTCGCCAGAGCTGCCCGCCTGCTGGGCACATACCACGTCCTCCACCAAGACCGGCTTGGACCCTGCCAGACAGCACTCCAACTCAGGCAGTGTCAGCTGAGGGCATGGTCACGGCCTGGGTGGCCATCTCAACAGGTTAAAGTCCTGTGAACGTGCAGGTCCCTCCCTCGGCCACCTCCTCGAACTGGGCACTCGGCCAGGTGTCTCATGTACAGACAAGACCAGAGCCGGGGGCGCCTGGGTGGCTCAGTTGGTTGAGCGACTGCCTTCGGCTCAGGTCATGATCCTGGAGTCCCGGGATTGAGTCCCGCATCGGGCTCCCTGCTCGGCGGGGAGTCTGCTTCCCCTTCTGCCCTCTTCCCTCTCGTGCTCTCTGTCTCTCATTCTCTCTCTCAAATAAATAAATAAAATCTTAAAAAAAAAAAAAAGACCAGAGCCAGGTGACCGAGCCCTGCTCCCACTGCACCTCCCAGGGTGTCCTCCCCGCCAGGTCCCTCAGAGGCCAGTGCACCCTCCTGTCTTCACGACTGGACTAGAAGTTCTTGTCGTAACCATCACACCTCCAGATTCTTGTGGAACAGGCGTGCTTTCTGGGGCCAAGTGCATGTGAGTGCGTCTTCTGCTCGGCGCACATTATGCAGGGTCTCCCAGACCCATGACGAGTCTACTGGGGCCCACTCTTCCGGGCCTTTCTGTTGCCCTCACTCTTGAAGTTTCTCTGGCGTGCACGCGCCGCAGGTGTGATGAGCACGGATGGGCCTGGCGGGCACTGAATGGGGTGATGGCCGTGCCCCCTCTGCAGCCACAGAGCCCCCCAGAGGCTTCTGCAGCTCAGACAACATGGGTCAGATCCGGAGAGCCTGGATGGATGAACAGGTGCCAGAGGTTTTGAATATAACGAGCATGTTTTACCAAACAAACAGATCCCCCACACCCACATGGGGCCGGAATTAGCAGGAAATACTCAGTGGGCCTTAAGGGCTGAAAGGTCATGCTGAAGTAGCTGCCAGGGAGAGGCCCTTCTCTCCCCTTCTAGAACATCTGCTAGCCGAAAACCTGATATTAAACAGCTTAATATATCTCTTTAATGACAAGGTGGTTGTTTTCTGCTGTGTGAGTGATGGGAAAATTATCCAGGATAGAAAGGCTAATTTTTGCTTCTGCGCCTTCATTTGGTGAGTCAGGGATCTGCTGTGTGTTCAGGAGGAAAGGGAAAGCATTCACCTTATCTGGTGTTTTGCCTCCCTGAGGTTATCCCTGGAAATGGGAAACAGGGTCCCCAGGATATCAGACCCTGCTCCCGGGCACCTGGATTAGCCAGCTGGGGCCTGAATGCTGCCTCCCGTGTCCTTATAGGAGGGAAGCAGAGAAACCAGAGACGGTGATGGGACCGCCCCGATGAAGCTACTTAGGTGGTCAGGTGACAGGCTGATTTGTCCCACCGCCTGTGGTTGGCTACCTCCTGCCTCAGCCTGTGAGTGGGGCTGAATCTGTTCTTTAGAAAAGATGGTTGAGGGCCAGAGCATTCCAGGGACAACAGTTAAGTGCAAAGGGCCTGGGCATCAACACACAGGCTCTGTCAAGTTCTGCCCATTCATGGCACAACGGACAGATGGTGAGAAGTGGGATTTGGGTGGCAGCGGCGGGGGGTGGGCGCATCGTGATAATGGGGTCCGTTGGAGTGCAGTGGGGTGCCCTCAGGCCGAGCAGGGGTGGCGTGAGGAGCATTGTTCATGGTGATCAAGTAGCAGACACTGGTGGGAGGTGCTTATGGACATGCCCTGGATGGGATATGCCCTGGATGGGATCCCCCTAGGCAGAAGTTCCTGGGGCGGGGGGTCATCCCGGGAGCCACACTGTCTGTCCTCAGCTGGTGCGGGTGTTGGTGGGGAGCCCTGGTGAGCAGGGGGCCTGGCACACGGGAGCCCTGGCGGCCTGCCATGTGCACCAACATGGCCACCTGTGTCTCCCTCTGGGTTTTGCACGCAGGGACATCTGCAGATGGGCTTCCTGGCAGCTCCTCCCAAGGGTTCTCTTCTCCCTGCTTCTGTCCTGCAGTGCTTTTCCCTGATGCACAGAAGGTTTGTGTGTGGCCCTCCTCTCTGGGCCTGTTTCCCATCTGCACTCAGAGATCTCCGGGGGCCCTTAGCTCTGACTAGAACGCCCAAAACGGCTGTGTGACAGCTGTCTGTGCCCCGAGCAGCCCCACAATTGCCCCTCCTCCAGAGTCTGACCTGACAATTTGCTGTAGGTTCTGTTCTAGCTCTGCGTTCGATCGGCCTCATCCCCATGCCTGCCATGTGGAGCCCATTGACCGGGCAGGTGTTTGGCTCCCACGTGGGACTGCATGCCTCTTCCCTCTCCGTAAGCCTGGCAGCATGGCGGCGGCTGCCGCAGCAGGAAAAGGACCTTGCTGCTCCCAGAGGCGTCACCCCTGAGCCGCCTCACCTGCCACACTGCTCCTTCGAGGGAGGTGTGGGTGCACCTGCCCCCAGCCAGCCTGCAGAGGGTGGGGGTCAGGGCAGCAGCTGTTTTCCTCAGGTGTCAGTGGAGAGAATGGGGCCCAGCCCACCCCCCACCCCGCCTCCCATGTCAGAGCCTTTCTGGGGCACCATGAGGCGGAAGCAGGGCCGTGGACCCACATGCACAGCCCTGAATCAGGCCTTCCACGTGCAAGCTGAGACCCCTCTGACTGGCTCCGATCTGGCTGTGGACAGGGACACTTCACAGGCTGTCGTGGAGGTGCAGGGAGTGAATCCACATACACTGCTTAGCTCATGGTAAGAGCTGCATACTGTTGGCTTTTCTTCCCCCACAGGCTTCGGTAAAAAGCTGCCAATGTCCTCTATTTTTAACCAAGCACAAGTTTTCTGTTTTCCCACAACGTAAAGAACATAGAGATGGTAATAGTGACAGTGGGAACTGGGCGGGGGTGGGGGGGCATGCTTGTAAAGGAGGAAGGGAGGGGTCTCACTGTGTTGAGGGCCAGTTCGGGTGCGGAAATCACAGCTGTTGGGAGCCAGCACCTCTCTGGGGACTCGGGGACTGTTCCTGCGGCCAGACTGATAAGCCTGCACACAGCCTCCCTGAGTCCCCAAGGGGCCTGGCACCTGACCCGGCTCCGGGCCCCTGGGGCAGTCCTAGAACCCAGACCTTGGGGGACCCTGAAGAAAGAACCCGTTTCTAGCTGTGTGATTCTGCACATGCCTTTTCCCCTTGGCCGACCTCAGACTTCCTTGTCACTAAAATGGGGACAAGGATCGGAGCCTGGAGGGACTCCCGTGGTACTTACAGGGTTCTGCCTCTCTTTGGCTTCTGCGAAAACCTTCTTTCAAAATGTTCTGCGTCAGTTCTTCAAAGTCTCATAAATGTAGCAGTGATGGCATGACCAGATCTGCGGAAATAGACCGGATCTCATAGCCGTTCCAAGGGTGCTAAATCACTGTGTCCTTCCTGCTGCTTTGGGGTTGCCAAAGGTTCTAGACGAGTTCCCTGGGCTGCTGCGGCAGACCACCACAAAGTTAGTGGCGTAGAGCAACATGAACGTGTTCTCCTGCCGTTTTGGAGGTCAGCAATCTAAAAGGGACCTGCAGGCTGTGTCCCTGCTGGAGGCTCTGGGAGACCATGTACTTCCTTGCAGAGGAAGGCAGCCTGCCTCTAGAAGCTGGAGGAGGTGAGGAAACAGATTCTCTCCCAGAACCTCTCTCTTCGAAGCCACCACTGTGGTTCTTCAGCTGTTAGATCTCCCTCTGCTTCCTTCTTATAAGGACCCTTGGGATGACATTACCCCCCACCCAGACGATACAGGATAATTTCCCCATCTCAAGATCCCTGACTTAATCACATCTGCAAAGTTCCTTTTGCGCTTTGAGGAAGTTCAGACCATAGATTTCCTAGGAGAGTTCAACACGGTAGTCATTCTCACTTAAGTATAAAAATGCATCATCAGCTCTTATTGTGCTTCCTTCCCAGCGAAGCGAAGTTGCTCTAAAGGAAGGGGGTTTGGGTGTGGTCAGCTCTGGAAAGGAGGGAGAGAGGGAATGTGGAAGTGAGGGAGGCCCCAAGAACTGGTCCTGAGCAGCCCCTTGCCAGGGTTTAGCAGGCCTGGGCTTAAGGGTGGTGGGGTGCTCAGTGTACCCCTGGGGGCTGCCCTCCACTGCCTACTTTCTCGTGGCCTTGGGGCCCAGTGCGGTTATCTGTGAGGTTTTGGTGCCTTCCTAGAGAGCAGGACCAAAACCTTCCCCGGGATCCAGGTCTCCTGAATTCACCAGGCTCTTCCTGTCTTCCTGCTCTGACCCTCAGTCGCTGCTGCCAAAGCCTTTCCCTGAAACCGTGTCCTTGCCTATGGTTTGTGCCTGATTCCTCAGCTGCTGTTTTTTGAGGAAAGTGAGCATACACTTTTCCATTTCCCCGCTGCTCAGGCCTTCCCGAGGCCAGGTGGGGCTCGCTCAGACCTCAGAGGCCGTCAGGGTGGGGCTCCCAGGCTCTGAATGCTCCCTGTGTGGGGGCAGTGACCCCCGGGGGGTGTGTGGCCAGACTAGGAGGCTCCTCCTGTCCCTGTGGCCCTGGGAGGGGCTGCCACCCGTCCCCCAGCCCTCTCAGTCCTCAGGAGAGGACCTCGACTTGCTGGCGCTGTGCTCCCAGGTACACAGTGTTCTAGGAAACACTCGTCCCCAGCCGCCCGGTCTCCCCACCCCTCATCAGGGCAGGCACAGGCTCTGGATGCCGAGCCAACCCCAGAGTGTCTGATAGCATCTTCTTTCCACATTTCCATGCCCCACACCCCAGGAAGAAGCCCAGAGCCCCGGGCAGACCACGCCCTTCACCTGCCCTCCGCAGCTGGGCCCAGCTTCCTCCAGGACACCTGGAGGAAGGGGAGGCTGCCAGGTGACTGGGTTCAACTGAGTTCAGTCTCCCGCTGGGTGCAGTGAGCTCAGTACTTTTCCAAATTGTTTTCCTCAAACGGCTGGGTCAACAGCGGCACCTTCTGCTCTCCAGTGCCACCCAGCATGTGGCAGGAAGCAAGCCGACCTCCCCACAGAGGGAACCAACCATGTCCCATCTCTTCCCAGTCCCCCCTGCGCTGCCCTGCTCCCCACACAGACACCCCCATGTTGTCCCCTGCTCTGCAGCCCAGCCCTGAGAAGAGCCCACATACCCCCTGCAGTGAGTACCCCCAGCTCTCAGACCCCCTGAATGCTCCACTGAGGCGTGGATTGGCTGGTCAGGACATCCTGCAGGAGTTAAGCTAATGGTTCGTGTCGTGTCACCAGACCATGCAGATGGGTGACCGGCCAGGTGGACCCTGCGCTACTCCCTCTGTCACTGGTGGTGCACAGCTGGAAGATTTCCACTACCCTTGTTCCCTTGTTGATTTGGGCACAGACCTTCAGCAGGAAGACCAGCAGGGAGCCAGCCTCGTCCTTCCTGAGCACCCTTACCGGTTAGTCCTGGGCCTCTTCTAGCCATTCTTCCTACTTCAAGCTCCGCACTTGTGTGTGTGAGTCCTGACCACTCTGATGACAGGACCTGGGGTCAGCTGGCCACACCCAGAGCACAGAACTATCCCCATTCTACAGCTGGGGAAGCTGAGGGTCCAGAGGTCTAACACACTCACTCAGCCCTGCCCACTGGCCTTGGGGAGCCAGGTCTGCACAGCGCTGACCTAGGCACCTTCACTCCGGCCCACAGGCACTCTGTCTAAAACAAATGAGTGGGGAGGCCCACACTGGAGCCCACCTTCCACCCACATGACCCCCTCCCCTTTGGGTGTTTCCTGAGTTCCCAGCTCCACCCTTATCAGGACAGGTTAAGTGGGGCCCCTCCCCCAAGTTGTTCACAGCCTATAGGAGCCTTGAAACCACTCACAGGCATGTCACACATCTTGAGGACTGCCCAAAGAACACAGAGGTCCCAGGAGCACCTCAGAGCCTCTCAGGAGTGAAGATAGTCACTGAGCACACAGACAAAAAGCACCTCATCACCACTTCTCTGCACTTCCAGGGTCATTCTGGGGAGGGGCATTTGGAAGCTGAGACAGCCAAGCAGAAGGCCTGTATATGGCCTCGGGGTGGAGGAAAGAGCTGCCCTATTGTGTGAACAGCTAGAGGACAGAGTCACTGGAAAGCCCTGAGGTGGGAGATGTGAGGGAACCAGGAACTGTTCTGGAACCTGGTCACAGAGCTTCCAGGAAGCGGTTTGGCTCTTCCCGGAGTAGCAGGGCTCAGAGCCACCTGCTTTCCAGATGTGTGACCTGATCAGAGGGGTGGGCTAGAATGAGGGAGAAGGGAACAAAAGCCAAAGAGTTGGCAAATAGAAAAGCTCACTAGGTAACATCACAGATAAAGCCAATGCACATGGTGATAATGGTGGTGATGATGGTGGTGATGGTGATGGTGGTGATGGTGATGATGATGGTGATGGTGATGGTGATGACGATGATGATGGTGGTGATGGTGGTGATGATGATGATAGTGATGGAGGTGGTGATGGTGGTGATGGTGATG